CCAGAACAGATCCAATACCCTGGAAATTTAAAGCCTTCCTCCTGCAGCATCTTCCAGCCACATATTCATTCCCTCACTTTTCCTCTTTCCCTACTCACTGGCATGTAATATTGGCAACACTCCTGAGGTTACAGGGGTTCAAAAAAGATTTGCAAGGATGTTGCCAGGGTTGGAGGGTTTGAGCTATAGGGAGAGACTGAATAGGCTGGGGCTATTTTCCCTGGAGTGTCGGATGCTGAGGGGTGACCTTATAGAGGCTTATAAAATCATGAGGGACAAGGATAGGGTAAATAGCCAAGGTCTTTTCCCCAGGTTAAGGGAGTCCAAAACGAGAGGGCATAGATTTAAGGTGAGAGAGGAAAGATTTAGAAGGGACCTGAGGGGCAACATTTTCATGCAGAGGGTGGTGCGTGTATGGAATGAGCTGCCAGAGGAAGTGGTGGAGGCTGGTACAATTACAACATTTAAAAGGCATCTGGATGGGTACATGAATAGGAAGGGTTTACAGGGATATGGGCCAAATGCTGGCAAATGGATCTGCTAGGTCGGCTTAGGATATCTGGTCGGCATGGACGGGTTGCACTAAAGGGGCTGTTTCCATACCATACATCCCTCAGAGGTTCTACTTTTCAGTCTGTTGCCTAGGTCCCGAAATTCTACTTTCAGCAACACATTCCTCCTCTTGCGCACTCCCTGGTGCGAATTTGGACCATGACCCCCTTCACCCTCCCCACATAGCAATTTCCCACAGTCACTCTGTGAAATTCTTGAATTAAAATTAAAGAACTGTAGATGCTGGAAATCTGAAACAAACATAGAAGTTGCCAGAGAAACTCAGCAGCATCTGCGGAGAGAGAAACAGAGTTAACGTTTCGGGTCCGGTGACCCTTCCTCAGTGGTGGAGCAGGTTTGTCACATCTGGTGCCTAGATTGGTACTAGCTGCTCTGTCCAGTTTTGTTCTTTCTATGACATTTCTACCGCAGGATAACACAACTGAGTGGCTTGCTGGCCCATTTCATGGGGCAGCTGTAACACAGCTACATTGCTGTGGGTCTGGAGTCACTTTCCGAATGGATTGCCTTCTTAGACTGTAACATGCCCTCAAATACTGCCCCCGACCTGTCCATCTGGATTAAAGGCAGAAAACATTGGAAATACTCAGCCTGTTAGGCACTGTGCACGGAGACAGAAACAGAGTACTCAGCTGAATTGTTGTGTCAAGGGATTTCAACCCATAACCGCTCACTTCAGGTATACACAGGTGTCAGTTAGCTAGATAGCAGGTTTGAGATACAGAGCAATGCTAACAGCATGGGTTCAATTCCCACACTGCCCGAGGTTACCTTGAAGAACTCTCATTCTTAACCTCCCTCCTTCACTGAGGTGTGGTGACCCTCAGGTTAAACCACCACCAGTCATCTCTGTCTCTAATGAGAGAGGTCAAAAGTCAAACGACACCAGGTTATAGCCCAACAGGTTTATTTGAAATCACAAGTTTTCGGAGTGCAGCCCCTTCGTCAGGTGAAGTGAAGGGAGCACCCAGGCACAGATTTTATAATCAGAGAGATCAAAAGATCATAACAAATGTTGTGAGTGGACTGTCAACAGGATGAATGATAGGTTTCTGCAAGTGATCAAGAGTGTTAGGTGGTGTGCGTAAAGTGTTAACAGCTGAATAACAAGTGAAAGGATGATGTATAATCCGATTAATTGAGGCAGAGAGATAATTACAAAGAATTAAAAATAAGGTGGTGCTGGAGACAAACAAAATGACTGGAATAACAAGATAGGTATAAGAGTTGCATGCTGAGAGTCTAACCAAAGTAACAAATAATCCAAAACTGTACAAACCAATTAAGGTAGAGAGATCATAACAATTAATCAAGGCAATGGTGTTAAAACAGGACAGTAAGGAAAATTTTACAGAACAGTGTTGTGGTGGGGTCACATGTAGCATGACATGAACTCAAGATAATGGGTTCATGGGTAGGGAACTTGGCTATCAGTTTGCAGCTGTATGATTTGGTGGAACTGCGGTGACTTTATGGTTGGCACTGTGGCTCAGTGGTTAGCTGGATACCTGGGTTCAATTCCACCCTTGGACGACTGTCTGTGTGGAGTTTGCACATTCCCCCCGTGTCTGTGTGTGTTTCCTCCAGATGCTCTGGTTTTCTCCCACAGTCCAAAGATGTGCAGGTTAGGTGGATTGACCTTGTGAAATTGCCCTGTGGTGTCCATGGATATGCAGGCTAGGTGGGCTATCCATGGGAAATGCAGGATGATAGGGTAGGGGTTGGGTCTGGGTGGGATGCTCTTTGAGGGCTGGTGTTGACTCGATGGGCTTGGGGACCGCTTTGCAGAACACCTAAGCTCGGTTCGCACTAAACAACTGCACCTCCCAGTCGCGAACCATTTCAACTCCCCCTCCCATTCCTCAGACGACATGTCCATCCTGGGCCTCCTGCAGTGCCACAACGATGCCACCCGAAGGTTGAAGGAACAGCAACTCATATTCCGCTTGGGAACCCTGCAGCCCAATGGTATCAATGTGGACTTCACAAGCTTCAAAATCTCCCCTCCCCCTACCGCATCCCAAAACCAGCCCAGCTCGTCCCCACCTCCCTAACCTGTCCTTCCTCCCACCTATCCCTTCCTCCCACCTCAAGCCCCACCCCCATCTCCTAGCTACTAGCCTCATCCCGCCCCCTTGACCTGTCCGTCCTCCCTGGACTGACCTATCTCCTCCCTAACTCCCCACCTACACTCACCTTTACTGGCTCCATCCCCGCCTCTTTGACCTGTCTGTCTCCTCTCCACCTATCTTCTCCTCTATCCGCCTCCCACTCTCTCCCTCTTTATTTCAGAACCCCCTTCTCCTCCCCCATTTCTGAAGAAGGGTCTAAGCCCGAAACATCAGCCTTCCTGCTCCTCTGATGCTGCTTGGCCTGCTGTGTTCATCTAGCTCTACACCTTGTTATCTCTGATAGGCTGAATGGCCTGTTTCCACACTGTAAGGATTCTATAGCTTACCTTTACAATTATTTTATATGTATATATATATATATATATATATATATAGAAGCACTCAATAGCACAGACTGCCTCATTTAATGATATAATGAAAAGTATATGATTTATAGATCCTAATGTCACGTCAGAATTTGGATTTCAAGCTGGTGGCATATGGGTGTTGGTTACATTTATAAAGTGTTTAAAGACAAATTCTGAAAGTCATTTCTGGAGTTGTGACTTCATCTAATATGCGCTAGAGAACAAACTCCTGAAGTGTGAATGGAAGACGTGAGGTTTTTGACTGAGAGTGTAAACATTTAAGGCCTGAACATGCTTTTAGTACAGAATAATCAGGGGTCGATTTTAACTTTGAGAGACACAAATATTTTCAGGAAGATTGAGTGGACACCTCACCACAGTGAGAAACACAATACAGTTTTGCTAATAGATAACATAGCGTGGAGCAGGAGGTACACAGCAGGCTAGGCAGCATGAAGAGCAGGAAAGTTGACATTTTGAGTTGGGGCCCTTCTTCAGAAATACAATTTTGCTTTTTTTTTACTCACTCCTGGAATGTGGGTGTTGCTGACTGGCCAGCATTTTATTGCCTGTCCCTAGTTGCCCTTGAGATGATGGTGGCGAACTCCCTCCTTGAACTGCTGCAGTCTACACGTCTTCCTAGAAGGGAGCAGAGGACAGTGCAGAGAAAGCACAGTTACCTCGCTATAAATATTTAACAAACAAAACTTCCAGACCAGGAGTGTTGGTTGGAAATCTGCAGAGTACTAAAAGACTGAGAAAGTCTAAGCTCTCAGTTTTATGAATATTGTTGGAAGGAGACTTCTTAATTCACAGGACAGAACTAGAGAGAAGCGGTCGAGTCAATTCTAAAGATAATTTCTGTGTCTTTTGAAACACTGTGAAATGATGACATTGGGGATTAGGCGAGATTTTATTTTGCCATGTGTTTTAAAATATTTCAAACTGTGTTCGATATTTAGATAACCTGGTTTGTGTTTTTTTTCCCTATTGTGTAATAAACTTCTGCTTAACTGTTAAAGTAAACCTGCAGCCCTGTGCAACTCTGGTTCAGTGAATGGTCACCGTGTTACGTTAAGAAAAATATGTGTGATCGATGAGCCAGATTTAATGCTGGGTTCTGACTCGTCCAGCAGTAACATCAGCTAGGGTCATAACAAAATGTTTCCAGAGATCTTTCACACAACAAAGTACAGATTCAAGACTGACACCAGAGACTTACAACCCAATGTACTGCTGGAAGAGTGAATTTTCAGTTAAGATGTGAAATTGAGGTTCAGCTGCATCTGGTCTCCCACAGGGATGCAAAGCAGATTGATTTCCTAACTGGCATCAGTGGAACACATTTAAGGTGGCACAGTGGCTCAGTGGTTAGCACTGCTGCCTCACATCTTCAGGGATCCAGGTTCGATTCCACCCTCAGGTGACTGTCTGTGTAGAGTTTGCACGTTCTCCCTGTGTCTGCATGGGCTTCCTCCGGGTGCTCTGGTTTCCTCCCACAGTCCAAAGATGTGCAGGTTAGGTGGATTGGTCATGCTAAATTGCCCATAGTGTTCAGGGGTCTGTAGATTAGATGGGTTATAGGGGGATGGGTCTGGGTGAGATGCTCCAAGGGTCGGTGTGGACTTGTTGGGCCAAAGGGCCTGTTTCCACATTGTAGGGATTCTATGATTCCACACTGTACGGATGATTCAATGAATATTTACTGATTATTATCACATTGTTATTTGTGGGAACTCACTGTGCATAAACTGGCTTTGGTTTTGGAATGGCCAGAGGTCAGAAAGGCACTATTTAAATGCAAAACCTTCTTTCAAGCACGAAACGAACTTCTGTGCTCGGTTTAAGCAGCTCCTGTTGGTTTCTCCCGCAGTAACCACTCGATGGTTTCGAATTTGAATTCCCATTCACTCATGTGACTCATTCTGTCCTGTTTCTTAATTCACAGGTTTCTGGGGGAGGTACGAGCCCCCCTGAGGGATGTCCTCAGCTCCTCGAACCTCGTGGCCAAGTACAGCCTGGCTTTGTTGGACACAAAGAAACAGAACACTGGGGTAAGAGAGTCAACGGCTTTTAGCTTACACTGTGCTGTCCTCCCAGCGCCCTGTGTTACTGACTGTATCTCTGCTGATGTTAATCCAGCTCCCTC